TATATTACTGTATTGTATTTCTGTTATTTCAAAATTATATTTTAATATTAGAATGAATTACATTGTTAGTACTGTTATATAATATTATTTATAATATTTTTATTACCACTATTGATATCATTACAGTATTATCATCATCCGTCATCATCATCCTCATCCTATCTGTCATCGTCATCATCATTCTCATTGTTGTCTAATCATTATAATCATCCTTATTATCATCGATCGTTGTAATCATCATCATCATCATCACATCATACTCATCCATCGTCATCGTCTTCATCACGTCCTTATCAATCATCTACCGTTGTTATCACATCCTCATAATCTTCATCCTCCTCATTCTTCATCATTTTCTTCATCATCATCATCATCCTCATCATCATATTCATCCTCATCCATCATCCTCATCATCATCAATGGCATAGCCAGCTATTATTTGGGGCAGTCCCACACCATTTTCCCAATGGGTCCATAAAAAATGGTCCACATTTTAAAAAAGGGTCCAAATTATGTAATTTTATGCATAAAATGGATCCAGATACCTTATATTTAGTTAAATATGGGTAAGATTTAAGAAAATGGGTCCAGATATTTCATATTTTTGCGTAAAATGGGTCCACATTGTTTGAATTTACACATAAAGTGGGTCCGCTCTGATATTGTCCCACACCGTTTGAAAATCCTGGCCATGGCATTGATCCTCATCCATCATCGTCATCCTCATCACCATCCTCACCAATCATTGTTAACATCATCACCATCACCTTCATCCTACTAATCATCCTCATCCATCATCATCCTTATTCTCATCATCATCAACCTCATCCTTATCCTACTTATCATCATCACTCATCATCATAGTCCTCATTATCATCATCATTGTCATTATCATCCTCATCATCATCCTCATTACAATCATCATCTATCATCATCATCCATCATCATCCTTGTCCTCATCATCGACCACATCATCATCATCCTTATTAATCATCATTATCAATCATCATCCTCATCATGAGGATGATAATGAAGAGGATGAGGACGACAAGAATGAAAATGAGGATGAGGGGCAGACTTGATGTTTCTCATCATTCGTCATCATTAACCTCATCAACATCATTCTCATCAATCATCCTCATCATTATCACGATCACCCTCATCAACGACCATTATCATCAATCATTAATCATCTTCTCCTTATTATCATTATCCTCACCATCCTTATCAGCATCATTTTCTTCCTCATCATCATCCATCATCAATCATCATCTACCTCATCATCTTCCTTCTCCTCATCAGCCGCATCATCCTCATCCTCTTCATCATCATTCTTATCTTAATCACCATAATCATAATCATCATTACCATCATCATTACCATCATCCTCACTATTATCATCGTCATCATTACCATCATCATTTTCATCATTATCCCCTTCATCATCAGTCACTACCATCATTATGAGGATGATGAAGATGAGGACGACGAGAATGAAGATAAGGACAAGGGTGAGGATGAGAGGGATGATTCTCATCATTCATCATCGTCATCATCATCATCATTCTTATCAATCATTTTCTATCATTCTCATCACCATCATCACAATCATTATCATCAACAACAATTATCATCAATCGTGATCCCCATCATCTCCTTCCTCACCATCATTTCCTTCCTCACCATCATCCTCATCATCTTTCTTCTCATCATCAACATCCTCCTTATAATTGGGAATATAATGAGGATGCGGATGACAATAAGGAAGATGATGATGATAATAATAATAATGACATCAGTATATTAAGAATAACAGTACTAACGCTAATATTAATGTGAATTATAAACTATAAATTTTTCAAATCGCATAAGAATAATAATATACTATATTAATAATATTATAGAGTAACAACATAATAGTATACTAATGATGATGAAGAAAAATGTAGTGTAGAAAGATTAAATTTAAATAGGTAAACATTTCCTTTAATTTTGATTGTCGTAGTCTTGGAATTCGGTGTGTTGACGTCATCATTCCAAATTTGCTTGGGAGGTGGGGAATTCCCGTCTGACAGGCCTAGACTCTCATCGTCCGATGCCTTGACAAGGTTGCCACATCACAA